GTGTGTGTGAGTGAGTGAGTGAGTGTGCGAGTGAGAGAGTGAGAATGTGAGTGCGTGTGTGTGTGGGGTGTGTGTGAGTGAGTGAGTGAGTGTGTGTATGTGTGTGTGTGAGTGAGTGAGTGAGTGTGTGGGGTGTGTGTGAGTGAGTGAGTGAGTGAGTGTGTGTGTGTATGTGTGTGTGTGAGTGAGTGTGCGTGTGAGTGTGTGCGTGTGTGAGTGAGTGTGTGTATGTGCGCGAGTGAGACGGAGCTGCTGACCTTCAGTGCGTGTGCAGTGTGTGTCGCTGAAGACACTGATCTTGTTATAGAAGTCGTAGCGGCTCTGGACTCTCACACAGTACCACGTCTGTCTGTCCAGATCCGTCAGCATCACCACATTGTTCTCCGTCTGCAGGACTTTAGCCTTCTGCAGGGACAGTCAGAGCAGGAAATTATGTCACTCAGCAATGCCATCTATACAGTAACACTGCATTTAAACACACTAGTGACGGCTGTAAAACAAGAAGGTCTGTTAACACGAGTAAATTCTGAATTAACAACGAACTACACTCATTACACATGACCTGATGTGAACATATTTTGTATTGTGGCACTTATGATATAATGAAGCTTCTCTCCAGTCAAACATTGATAATGCTCATCAAATGACGCTACGCTACAATCAACCATCACACAGCACTGCGGGAACAGAAACTGCTGTAGGACATAACCTCAGACTAGTGTGAGAATCACTCATCAACTTAACACACACTTACTGAAAACAGCAAATATCTAAATCATCATCACTACTATTATGATGAACAAAAATACAAACTAGAATTTCTAAAGTAACTAAACGAAACATTAAAATGTAGAAACTATTTCTTCTCCCTTTTACATATTTCAAAAGTCCCAGAATTTTATTTAGAGCTTTTAAAAAAGAAGAGTTCCCGGAGCCCAGTGTTTAATTAGAAGCACTTTGAGAGGGAAGAATGTGGTTGGAGATCAGAAACCACCATCTTTCTACATCTTTCAGTCTCAGAAATGCTGCTGTTTCACAGCTTCTGCTAGTCCTCAGCAGATGCCTCGTTCAGACGGTATTCATGCAGCCGCTGCTGAACCGAGCGAGAGCACAGATACCTCGGGCTCCTCAGAGCGCCTCCAGTACTGGATGAGGTATCTCAGATTGTTGTCCAGCAGTGTTTTCATGGACTGGTTAGAGCTGGTCACAGGGTCAGTGATGATGACCTCTAGATGTCCTTTAACAGACCTCAGCCTCACGCTGGAAGGAGGACCTAAAGCAGCTGAGAGCAGAGGAAAAGAGCCGGCGTCAGCAGCAGAATCAAAGCCAGCGCCAGGAACAGACAGACAGACAGACAGCTGGATCACCGTGTTTATCAGGACAGAATCTGATCTGGACCCAGCCGGAGGACCGCTGAGACGTGTTGGCCCGCACACGCAGCAGATACAAGGCCAGGTAATGCAGTTCAGCTCCAGTGAAATCACAGCGATGCTCCAGAACACTGACACACATCGACGTCCAGTACTTCTCATGACTGGACTTCCGGGAGAGACGTTCCCTGTTGGAGGAACAGATCTGTCAGTCAAGCAGTGCTTCCCCAGCCTGCTCCTGAAGCCCAAACACGCCTGATTCAGCTCATCAGCAGAGCCTCAGAGACTGAACAGATAACAGAGGCGTGCTAGAGGAGATGGGAACAGGCTTGAGAACCACAACAAAACAAATGCACACCATGGAGAACAGTGAGAATAAAAACAAAACATCTGCACAGATCACGATAATGAGACTTCTGGAGGAAAAGATTGTCGATATTCAAGAAACATTGTAGGCTGAATATACAGTAATTTATAAATATAATTAATATAACATTATGCTAAATACATATGTGTCCCTGCAGCACAAAAGCAGTGTTAAGTCGCTGGGGGATATTTGTAGCAATAGCCAACAATACATTGTATGGGTCACAATTATACATTTCTCTTTTATGACAAAAATCATTAGGATATTAAGTAAAGATCATGTTCCATGAAGATATTTTGTGAATCTCCTACCGTAAATATATCAAAACTTAATGTTTGATTAGTAATATGCATTGCTAAGAACTTCATTTGAACAACTTTAAAGATGATTTCAGGAGATTCCAGATTTTCAAATAGTTGTATCTCAGCCAAATATTGTCCTATCCTAACAAACCATACATCAATGGAAAGCTTATTTATTCAGCTTCAGATGATGTATACATCTCAATTTTGAAAAATTGACCCTTATGACTGGTTTTGTGCTCCAGGTTCACAGTTGAGCTGATTCAGTCACATAGGTCACGTGCATATGAAGGCTCTTACGCTAGATACTGCGCAGTGAAGGTGACCGTCTGGTTGACGGCGCTCTCGTGAGGCCAGTCCCACCGCAGCACGTAACGAGTGTTGAGTGAGTCCATGCTGACGTTATCAGGACACCTCAGATCTGCAAACCCTGTCAGACACACACATGCATTTACACCTCCATATGAGCACACAAACACTCACTTCTCCAGTCTGATATCTGCACTGAGTTACAGGCCAATACAATGTTCAACCTGAATGCAAGCGTTTTCACATCTGAGAACACATCTGCACGCAACTGGTGCAATTGACCTATCGGTAAGCCCCTCCCCTCGAACGCAGATGAGCCAATGGCAGTCGAGTATCAGTTGCATGGGGAGCTGAACTCGGACATCTGTAGGTTTCAGCGGCATAGAGAAACACTGGAAGATCCGAAGCTTGCATCAGTTTAATAGTGTTTATGCTACAGAAATGGAGAAACGATGTGCCTGGGGTACTTGTAACAGTGATTCCAGGCATCCTGAGAGAACAGGCAATTGGATTTATTTTATTATATTTCCTAAACCCAAACAAAATGGAGCAAAATGTCCCATAGCATTCACCCCCAATCCCAATGAAGACACAAACGTTCATTTTCTGGTTGTCATACTCTCATTAAGTTACACTTTTCATCTGCTCAAGCAGAACGTTAATGTCATCTTGTGCTTCAGCAAGGTATCTCTGGCTTAACGTTAAAGTTAGTGAGTCCACACAAACCTAAATAGCGGACTGTTCTCACGTCTTGTACAGTGTAGGGCAAAAACACATAAACGAAGGTCTACATATCACTGTCTCTTCATATTGGTTAAATGTAAAGTAATTTAATCGTACCCTGCGATACATGAACAGTGTTGATCCGGGATGTTGTTATCTGCGATCGTGACGAACGTAACATGAGGCTTCTCCCGCTTGCATTGTGATCTGTAAACCCTCGCTTTCAAATTAATACCCACAATATTTGTTTTTAAATCTTTTATATATCCTTCCATGGCATATTCAAGTCCCACTTGAATGGTGGTCCTTCTGTGTCCAAAATTTATCCAAAAGATATAGGGACAAGCTTTTCACACTGACCGCTCTCATTGTGAGACAGTGAGCAGCTCCGCCTGCTTGTCCGAGGTAGCAACAGTAACTAAGGGGGGCGGGGCTTACCGATAGATCAATTCTACACTGCACAAAACGAATCATGGCTCAGGTACATGTGCAGCGTAAGTGTCGCTCACAGAGTGTTTGCAGGGTTGAGCACTATATCCAACACAGGCATGTCTGTTGAGCCATCAGTGCAATCGGCCAATCAGAATCATCGAGTTTCGATGGCATTCTCATTCCATCTTACCTGCAAGCACAGCGCTGCTTTGATTACTGCGGTTACCGGGGAAACCACTATATTCTGCCGCTCCAACAGCGCCACCTGCTGGCAGAGAATCAAGGTGCATTTTCAATAAGCCCGTCTGCTGTTCTTGTTCAGACCAGTGCAGTTGTAAATGTAAAATAAGTTCATGTGCCTTCTAAAAGTCTAAACAATTAAGACAGTAAGATATATGCTTATGCTTTAATTTAATGTAATAATTTATACATTTCACTCATCTCTTTTCTTAAAAATGGTTTAAAGGCTGAAATGTGATGTTTATCATTTTATAAGACTTTTCGTTTTTGTGAAAACCTGTATCTGAACTGTAAATCATGCTTTTTACAGTCATTTTATGGTTTAAAGGGATAGTTCATCTTCAGTTGCTGGTCTCCATTGACTTCCAAAGTATGGAAAAACAAACAAAAGAAAACCACTTTGCAAGTCATTGGGGACTGATACCATAGACCGTGACCTGCTCCGCACATACAAGCTTTAGTTTTATTTGTGCAGGTCTTAAAGACATGGAGATATTTTTGTTGCATTATTCCAAATAAATAGATTATGATCCACAAATAAAGGTTAAAGAGATTAACAAGAAATAATCATATTCACAAATAAACAGAATGAGATCCACAAGTAAATATCAGAGTTTCACAAACATGAATTAACTTCACAAATAAATAAAATGAGATTTGCAAATAGAAAACATTCACAACTATATTATATACTACAAACACAGGTTGCCTGGCATTTATTTGTGACTAGCGTCCTGTGCATTTGTGGGTTCTGAAACATTTCTAGCGTCGCTGATGATCCACAAATGCGTGACTCCACCCACCGTCTGCTCAAGCCAATCAGATAACAGTCACCTTCGCTGACCAATCGCAGCACATTCTACAATCAGGTGTTTTGCTTTACAATCAGGGCGGTCTCGTCCTGAAATAACATCGTTCATTTGCATTGGGTCAAACAGGAAATATAAGGGCCATAAAAAATTGGTGCAGTAAAATTAGATTTCGTTGGACCATTAGACTGTGTATCAAGCCAAGCCACAGTGTTATATTTTATGAGCCTTTGCAGGCCGGGAAACCTCCCACTCATCCAGGCCATCCTATACAGCAGGGGTGTCCAAACTCGGTCCAGGAGGGCCACTGCCCGGATGAGTTTAGCTCCAGCTTTCCTCAACACACCTGCCTGCAGGTGTCTAGTATGCCTCGTAAGGTCTTGGTTAGCTGGGTCAGGTGTGTTTGATTAGGGCTGGAGCTGAACTCTCCTGGACAGTGGGCCTCCAGGACTGAGTTTGGACACTCCTGCTATACACCCACAACAGTTTTTCAAACTACAGACAGCCCTATTATTTGTATGG